CTTAGGAGGTGTGCATGGGAGGCAGGGCAGGAGAGGAACTAGAGGTAAAGAGAGGAGGGTTCATAGACACTGTGCTCTCTGCTTTCTGTGGCTGCTGATGGAAAGAGCACTGCACCTGTGCCTTCATCCGCTTTCTCTTGGTTCAGTTTATTGGCACACATGTAGCTCTCACTGAGGCTACCTCCCAGGGGCCCAAACATTCATAAAAGGCAAACACGCATGACTCAGATCTTTCTGGGGACCAAAAAGGGAAGGGGGTTGAAGAGAAGATAGATCTGAATAATATATACCAATGGGTGCCCTAGCTGGTTTGGCTCAATGGATAGATAGATCATTGGCCTGTGACTGAAGTGTTGTGGGTTTGATTCTGATCAAGGGCACATACCTTGGTTGCCCAGCCCTGGTTGAAGCAAGTGTGGGAGTCAACCACATTGATGCTTTTCTCCCAGTGTCTCTCCCTCTCCCTTCCATTCTCTCTAAACATCAAGGGAAAAATATCCTCAAGTGAGTATTATCAAAAACAAACAAACAAAAACCCAAATTATACCTCTGGGCCCAAAATTTCAACATGTGGCCTAGTTTGAGATAAGTTTGCCTGGAGTAAGCAAGGCCCTATGAACACGGACAGATGTTCATATTTATATTTATATTTATATTATTTCTCCCTGGGCACGTTGGCAGCCCTTGTGCCTGGTACTTCTGGCTACTGAAGTCATCTGTGCCAGCATGGAAGATGTTAATCCCTATATTTGTGTTATGGGCCAAATCTTAGAAGGAAAAAAAAAAGGGGGACATTGATATCATTCTGGGTGATCTCTTTGTTATTTTAGCTGGTTATAATTAATACTGTTTGCACATGAAGTGTTACTAGTGTTCAAAACAAGCTTAGTACTTAGTCAAAGATTTTATTGATAAAAGAGATGCCAAAATGATTCCCTTCCAACCACTTCTCTTCACTTGTTGTTGTAAGTTCAGACTCTGAATTAAATACAGCCCTTCCTTGTGTTGGGGGCCCCTTTTGCCATCTGGTTGGGCTTCTCAGTATCTTCTTTCCCAGGAACGGGTCACTGATTTTTATGGGCATTTAGAAGTTCATGTGAAAACCATTTTAGTATGTTTTTTGAGGGTTAGTATTAGATTCCAGGCTGATACATGAGCACAGTGGTCAGCAAACTCATTAGTCAACAGAGCCAACTATCAACAGGACAACGACTGAAATGTCTTTGGAGAGCCAAATTTTTTAAACTTAAACTTCTTCTAATGCCACTTCTTCGTAATAGACTTGCCCAGGCTGTGATATTTTGTGGAAGAGCCACACTCAAGGGGCCAAAGAGCCGCCTGTGGCTCGAGAGCTGTGGTTTGCCGACCACTGCATTAGCAAATAGTTATTTCTGGTGGGAAGCTGCCGTCACGTTATTGTTTACGTGTCTCTGTTCAGCTATTTTGAGCTCTGGGCTGCAGGGTGTGGCTCTTTTGAGCTTCAGTGCCTGATGCTTTCAAACAGACTGCCCTGGGCTTCAGACCAAAGACTGACTCAGGGAGACACCACACACAGTGGCATTTTTGGTGGTTTGGGGCGGCACGATGTGAAAGTCTACCTCAGTATTTTCTACGAAAAAAGGGTTTGAGGAAATAAGTAGGATAATATCTCGGATGAAATAAAATTATTTTAAGATTGAGTTGGAATAGAGGATGGAGGAAGAGGATGGGAAGTCTTTGGTAACCACAGGGCCGATCTGCCAGGGCGTGTTTCAGAGTTCCGTGCCCTGAGTCGGTCCCACCCCCAGCTCCCATGCATGGGGTGGGAGGAGGCAGGGATGGGGCTGGCCCAGGCAGGTGGGTCAAGTAGCACTTCTGGAGCACCTGGCCCTTATCACTGAAACAGCAGGTGTGACACAGGTCCCAGCCCTGCGGCCTTCCCTTCCCTAAGCAGGTTAAAATTCTTGTGCTGCTCAAAACTAAATTGAGCCGAGACCGGTTTGGCTCAATGGATAGAGCGTCGGCTTGGGGACTGAAGGGTCCCGGGTTCGATTCCGGTCAAGGGCATGTACCTTGGTTGCGGGCATATCCCCAGTAGGGGGTGTGCAAGAGGCAGCTGATCGATGACTCTCTCTCTCTCATCAATGTTTCTAACTCTCTATCTCTCTCCCTTCCTCTCTGTACAAAATCAATAAAATATATTTTTAAAAAAACAAAAAACTAAATTGAACACATTGATGTTGCTGGTGTCCTGTCCCTTCCTCTCGGTGCTATGAATTGGTGAAAACACCAATGAGAGTGGCCTCCCAGCAAAGGCATTCAGTCTACTGATATCAATGAAGGAAATGCCTTTTGCCTTTTATCCCCAGCCTGCCTGCCTTTGGGCAGAGTTTTAAGTATTTCCTATTCTCCTAAACATGGATTCTTTGCAACATTAAATGTTAACTGTGGCTTTTAGAAGGTTGATGAGATCATTGCCCTCCGCAGCCCTGTTCACGCCACGGAAATCCTGTTTTGTTCCCATTCTTACTTGACACTTCTGTACTTTGTTCCTTGGTATTTTTACAATGCAGGCAGCTCCTATTGTTGTTTCTTTAAGATTTAAAAATTTAAAATGCGCCTGTTACAATATCACAACTTTGACATCAAATTGCTTAGATGTACATATTCTTCTTCTCTAGAGAATAGTATTCAGTAAGTTAATTCGAGACCTTAACATCTTCAAGGCAGATGGCTGCTGTAGCCACACCTTGGTGACGGCAAAGCAGCAGGATTCAGAGGGGCCTTGAGTGGTGCACATGTTTGAAATAATTGGCCACTGAGAAAGAAGCAATTAATCTCCCTCACTGGCAGAGATATATAATTTTTAATGAAAGGGCTCTATGCTTTTCCCCAGGGTGTATGTTAATTTTCAACTAAAGCAAAGGCAAATGGAACACCCAAAGTTCAAGATCTAAATAGTTTTAAAAATCTAAAACTCTACTGAAGTTTGATCTTACTCATGGAGATTTCTTGATCTCTTGGATGTGAAAGTTTTGCTTGGCTTTAGAAAGTTAAAAGTGTTTGCTAATCTGTTAATATAAAACCGACCAAAACTTTAAAAAAAAAAAAAGTGGGCAATTGGAGGAGAGAATAAAAGGAATTAATAGTAGTTCAAATGCATTTTTTTTTCACTTCCCTTGACTTTGAGAAGTAAGAAAGTTTGGAAGAGCAATGATGTCACTGAAGGTTGGAATCCAGGGGAATCTGTCAAGTTTGAGGCTCAATTCCACTGATCTCAAAAATGGCTCCCAGTGTTACCTTAGACACCGTGGTTGAAGGATCAGAAGAAGCAAAGATGAGGACATTTGCCCATAAAGTGCTTTCTTACCCTGCGGGAAAATAAGATATGTACATAGAAGAATATTGAAGGAAAATCTCTGAGATAGTCTATAACCCCCTTCTCCCCTCCTTCCCCCTTCCCCTTCCCCACCCAAGATTGTATTTATTGTTGTTGAAGGAATTTACAGTCAGGATGAGGTTAGTCCATATTTGCACTCCCTCCACCCACAGGACCCATGTGGTAAGGATGAAGCAGGTGTGAGCACAGCGGGAACCCTGGCAGGTTAGAAGAGGCAGCAGGTGGTGAAGGCACTGTTTTCCAGGTCATGTGATCACAGGAGTATTTATAGGGTGGTCATTCTTAGGCGTGATGGACTGAGGCTGTCATCTTGGGTTACTTGGTTGTAAATTGCTGTGGAGTGTTGATCTAAACAAAGGCTGATGAATCCCCAATGGACAGCTTGCTTGTAGGCTCTACGTCACCCTATGTTTAATCATTTGCTGTGAGTGAAGGCTGCTAACTGAGGGTGGGGGAGTCGTTAGCTCCGTCAAAATGTCCCTGTAGTCAGCACAAGTTCATCTAGGTGCATTCATGAGTCATGGGATGTAGTCCGAGGAACCCTGGAAGAGTTCTGGTAGGCAGCAATTTAGTGATTGAACTCACCTCCTTCATACTCCAACCGAGTGCCCAGTAGCTGCTTGTAGAGATAACCAAGAAGCATCCTGGGTTCTTGGCCTGAGGCCCTTGATTATACAGGCATCACGCAACCTTGGGAATTGGGGGGTTAAGATTGGAGGTTTCCAGCTTTGACTGTAGCTTCCCAGTCCTTCAGCAGTGGACACCTTCACTCTCAGAGGCCGCCTGAGGCTTCGGTTTTGGACAAGTTTCCGTGGCCTTCTCTGGTCTTGTCTGAACATGGAAACCAGGCCCCAGTCCCTGGCATTCCAGGGCCTGCTTCTTTGCCCGTCTCCATAACCCGCAGCTGCAGGGCTGAAAGAAGACACCAGGATCCAGACACAGTGAAGCATCCTCTTTTGCATGCATCAAGGTCCTGAATGATGGTTTTCTCTTGGGCGAGTTCCTTTCTTTTTCCTCTTCTGCCTGTTCATTTTTCTCTCTTGCTCTATAATACACAAATAATTGGCTTTTCCTATTTGCTGCACAAAGAGAAAATTAACCATCTGAATTTTTCATAGCTATGAGAAAGTATTTCCAGAGTGTGAAAAAATAGACATTGGACATTTCAGCTACTGCTTTTCATAGAGGGGGAATTTATTACTCAGCTCAGTTACAGTCTTGGCTCAAACAAAGCAGTTGTGTGGGCAAGCAGTAGGTACCTTTCCTAAGTGGCATTGCCAGGGACAGCTTGATTCATATTTGAGACACCGTGAACTAAGAGTATCGCTCCATCTAAGACCGTTTGTTTATCTCTGGATCTTAGACATACCACAGAAGTCATTGAGACCTGGCCAATGGGGTGGACTGGTTTGAGATATTGCATCGCTCCCAAAGGATAGGAAACTAAAGGGGAGGGAGGCAAGAGAGAGATCAGAGCCCAACAATAAATAGCTCTTTGTACCAGTCCCCTCCCCTAAGCCCAAACCACTGAGATCATAGAGTAAGTGAACGGCATGCAGAGGGCTACTGTCCCAGCAGCTGGACAGACAGAATGACCGGATGTGAACTTGTCTTCCCACAGTGTGCGGCTGTGACCTGGCCCAAGGTGGCTTCTTCATAAAGAACGGGGAGTATCTCTGCACGCTGGACTACCAGAGGATGTATGGGACACGCTGCCACGGCTGTGGGGAGTTCGTGGAAGGAGAGGTGGTGACTGCCCTGGGCAAGACCTACCATCCCAACTGCTTCGCGTGTACCATCTGCAAGTGAGTGAGGGCTTCCCAGCGGAGCGCTGGGAATGCTTGGGATGCCAGTGCTCGGAATGGCTCCCTGGAGTCTTGAATTGTGCTTAGTCTTAAAGTATTCTGTTTTCTGGTGTGTCCTTAGATTCCTTTATCTTTCTACGATATTAGCAGACTTTGTCATAAAGTAATTTATGGTGTCTCCTGCTAAATAACATGACTCATACTGAGTGGCTTGATACCAAGTCTGAAAGTAGCTCTAGGTCTGAAAAGATTTGGAGCAATGGAACATTGGGAGGAAATGACATAACTGATTAAAAAGATAAACCTTTGAAAAGTAGAAGTTCGTGTGTGTGTGTGTGTGTGTGTGTGTGTGTGTGTTTAAAGTAGTCTCATTTACTCTAGAGCAAGAGTGGACAAACTATGCTCCAAATTAGACCCAATACCTGTTTTTATAAATAAAGTTTTATTGGGACACAGCCACGCTCATTTGTCGATGACTCCTTTCAAGCTACAGTGACAGAGTAGTTGTGACAAAAATCATGTGATCCACCAAGTACAAAGTAATATCTATGAGCTGGTATTTTAGGAGAAAAGTTTGCCAATCCCTGCTCTAGGTCATCTATCATCGACAACATAAATCTTAACTTCACTTGATTAAAACGATCAGCCAGAGAGAGGGAAACTGAAGTGTGGGTGGGGAAACGTGCTTTTACTGTTTTGCCAGGAGTGCTACACGTTAGAGAACGTAAGTTGGGTCTGACTCCTATAATAAGGAGGTTCTGAGTTGGTGGGCATCACCTGTGCCTGCCCGTCCCCTGGCCTCCCCAGCTGACCCAGCCAGGCCAGTCGCTGGACCTCTCTGGGCCTTTTCCGAACAATGGAAAGGAACTGCACCCCGCGAGGAGAGGAGACCACAACTCAGCATTTCTAGAACTTGGGGGCAGAGGACTTAACCCTCTCCTTGGTGACTGCGACCAGACCACGGGTGGTGTGGGCTTAAGTCCGAATGTATATGACAGTTTATACCACTGTGAGGCAGCCCAAGGGCGGCGTCAGGAGGGATAGCCCTTGTGAAAGCAAAACTCATGTCCAGAAACTTGACTTTGTCCTCAAGTAATTGCTCTGACTCAGATGTGCGGGGCTGTTTGCTTGTGAGCTTCCCATTTCCAATCAAGACATTCACACATTTGAAAACCCATGCTGATGAGGATAATGGGCACATTGGCTTAGTGCAGTGGTCGGCAAACTGCGGCTCGCGAGCCACGTGCAGCTCTTTGGCCCCTAGAGTGTGGCTCTTCCATAAAATACCACTAGGCCTGGGCGAGTCTATTTTGAAGAAGTGGTATTAGAAGAAGTTTAAGTTTAAAAAATTTAGCTCTCCAAAGAAATTTCAATCGTTGTCCTGTTGATATTTGGCTCTGTTGACTAATGAGTTTGCCGACCACTGCAAGCAAGTAGGCACGGAAGCTGTCCTGTGGCTATTTCTGAATGATTCTGTCAATATTCTATCTGCCTGGAGAAGAAACTGATGCCACATATGCAGAAGGTAGTATTTTTGTAAACTGTGCTGTTATTGATGAATGCCTCACTGGAAAGTGTATTCTCTTTCTGAAAAGAAATTAATAGTAATTCCTAAACAGGTATGTATGGCCTTACCATGTTTCTTCACCAGAGGCTAGGTCTCACCCAGCACAATGATCCATTCCCATCACCCATTCAGATGCCGGGAAGTCTAAATCAGCAGCATTTATCTCAGAGGTCGGTCTTGGGAGCTGAAAGAGTTAACGCCTGACCTGTGACCAACTAACTCTCCTGGGGAGGGGCCTTAAGCCTGGCTAGGAATTCATGGCATTTGAAATGTTTCTTCATGAAGGGTTTTCCGTTTGGAAAATTTTATTGTGTGCGCCCTGCTGAGTGACTTGTTGGAACATACACACACACACACACACACACACACACACACACACACACACAGAGCTAGTGACTCATTCATTCCCTTTACTGTCTGCATGCGCACTCTCCCTTCTCAAATTGAGGCACGTTTGTTTGTTTGTTTGTTTGTTTGTTTGTTTGTTTGGGATGTGGCCAACTGGCCAGCTTGGTGGAGATGGTGTTTCAGACACTTGGGCTGGTGCTCCTCCAAGAGAAGAACTGGCACCGAGGGCAGCAGGCAGAAAGGAAGAAGGAGCAGGAGTGAAGTCGCTGGGATAACCTGCAGAGCAATGTCCTTCTGTCTCCAGGCGCCCGTTTCCACCCGGGGACCGCGTCACATTCAACGGGAGAGACTGCCTCTGCCAGCTCTGTGCCCAGCCGATGTCGTCCAGCCCTAAGGAAGCCTCCTGCTCCGGCAGTAAGTGTCCCAGCCCCGGCTGGCATGGGTTCCTCGTGGCTCAGAGGTAGCTTAAGGCAGGTGCCTTTCTTTTAAGTGAAAACTTAGCTGGGGCCGAGAGTCATACTGTCTAAGGCATCTTCACTGGTAAAATGTGAAGCTCTTGATGACAACCCATGCAATAAAGAGCGACTCCTTTGTTGCAAAAAAGACATACATAGAATTGGGCATTAAATTGTGCCTTTTGGCAGTGAATGGGGACAGGGAGTTAGAAAAGTTCATATTGGCAATGCTATCTTGAGTCGCAGAGGTGGAGGTGAGGGAGCATTTGGGGGTGATGTAATTGAGGTAATCGATGTCTCTGTGTAATAAACAGCTACCTCCTGTGCCTTGAGCAAATGAGGTGGTTGATACTGACCCTTAAGTATTCTTTATTCACCTGAAGGGGTTCTGCATTTGGTCATTGGGTAATGGGTAACTTGCTGGGTACCGGTGATGTGTATTGTGCCCACCGGTGTGAACAGAACCCAGTCAGCATCCTCTAAAAGCTGGCTTTCTGGTGGCAGCAGGTAGGCAATAAATGCATATGGCACACAAAAATACCTAATGCGAAGAAACTGAAAGCAGGAAGAGAAAGGCTAACAGGCTGCACCGATATGGATCGATAGGGGGAGAGCTCTCTTAAAAGGTGACACCAAGGAGCGAGCTGAAAAAGGTGGGAACAAGTTAGGTGCTGGAATCCGTCATTCTTTAGGACAAGGGCTTGTCTGGCCTGTGAGAATCCAAAGAAAACCACCCTCCCCCAAAATAAAAACAGCGGCCCGTTGCACGATTCCTTCTGGTAAATAACAGCGAGTAGACGAGTGAACCTTTGAGATGTATTCTGCACTCTGAGCTCCAAACAAGGAAGCTCTACCCTCATCTCTCTCCTGGGCATGAGGACGTGGGCCAGAGGTCAGCCTTGGTTTCGGTGGATTTCGTCAGTCCTGGGAGATCTGGGGAAAAACGCCTTTATGCCTTGCTGGTCTCAGCACAGAAGAATGAGATCAGCTATTTCTCCTCAGGAGGAATGCTATGCCATTCATAGCAGCGATTCCAAATCTTCCTGTCCACAGGGAAGAGTCCTGATGCCTGTTAAAAAGAAGAATGTTCTGACCAAGGCATTTGCATAGAAATTGGATTTTTGACCATTGCGAGGGAAGAAGAAAAATAAGTGTTAGTGCATCTTATTCAGCAAATGGGGTCCTTCACAGGAGGATGTCTATGCCCTGCGGAGGAACACTAGCAGCCTGGGTGGGGCAATGGCTACAGAGCAGCGCAGGCCTAGACCCCTAGTGGGATTCTGAGTCCTTCACTGTCCTTACCTGCTCTATCCCAAGCAGGTCAGTGGGAAGGTGACCTGCGATGGGCATAGTCACCCCCGGTGAGGGAGGGCTTGCTCTGAAAGAACATTACCACCAACATTGGAAGGATTCTTCAGACTCTTTAAGAAAAAGGGTTTCAAAGAACTTGTATGCATATGTGCTTGACTCATGGACATGGTTAATGGGGTGGTGAAGACCTAGAGTGTGATGTGGGAGGGGAGCTACAAAAAGTGGGAACAAGTTCTGTGGGGATTTTTGTAGAAGGGCTGCCACAACTGCCTCCCTGCTGATTGCAAGATTGAAGGAGACAGGGGGATATATGTAAGACTTTCAACAATAAAGGTGTTTTTTGTGTTGTTTTTTTTTTTTTTAAAGGATTTTGTGTGTCCCAGCATAGGATGAAAGCTGAGGAAGAGCATCATGTCCATGGGCCTATAATAGGAAAGGCTGTGTCCTCACATTCTGTAGAGTCCTTTAGTCCAACTATCGTTCTTGATAGGTGAGGAAATTGAGGCCCATAGGCATACTCACACTACCCACTAAAAGGTCAGAGTAGAGCCCTAACCGGTTTGGCTCAGTGGATAGAGCATTAGTGTGTGGACTGAAGGGTCCCAGGTTTGATTCTGGTCAAGGGCATGTACCTTGGTTGCGGACATATCCCCAGTAGGGGGTGTGCAGAAGGCAGCTGATCAATGTTTCTCTCTCATCGATGTTTCTAACTCTCTATCCCTCTCCCTTCCTCTCTGTCAATAAAATATATATTTTTTTAAAAAGAAAAAAAAAAAAGGTCAGATTAGAGACAGGTCTTTGGGGTCCTGGTCTGGAGCTCTCTCTCTTGTTTCATCTGACATTCCTCATGGTTTGGATTGAGAAACAAAAGTGGGATGTTTTTACAGGTTTCTAGTCTTCTCCATCCATGCAATTTGGGTTCCTGTGTCCTAGTGTTCTACCAAAATGGTTATTCCAATGTTTATTAAAGTGTTGTTGTTGTTGTTGTTGTTGTTTTTGCTTTATCCCTTTTTCTATTTTTATATGATATACATGTTATATACATTAAAAAAAGAAATAAAGCCCAACTGGTGTGGCTCAGTGGTTGATGCTCACAAATGGATTCCTGGTCAAAACACATGCCCAGGTTGCAGGCTTGATTCTCTGTGTGAGGCATGCAGTAGGCAGCAATCAATGATTCTCTCTCATCACTGATGTTTCTAGCTCTCCCTCTCCCTTCCTCTCTGATATATATATATATATATATATATATATATATATATATATATATATATATATATTTTTTTTTTTTTTTTTAAAGGAATAAAAATTTTAAGTGTAAGAATGTACCCTACTCAAATTCATCACATCTCTAATGGCAGATATAATAATTGTTGCTTATGTGCAAATTGTTAGAACAAATCGTATTTTTTCTCTTGCTTGCACATAGATGAAGTCTCAATTCTATGAAACTGCTTTGATAGGTTCATTGTTATTTTTCAACAAGTCCTTGTCTATTTAGGTAAATACTCAAGTAGCATTTCTGAGGCATGTGGGCATGGCTGTCTGCCAAAAAGAGAGCTCTTTATATATGGTTACACACATGCACAATACGCAGACGAGGCAGGCATTTGGATACTAGCTCAAGGGAGTTTTCATCAAGTTTCTGAAATTTACTGGGGCGTGATTAGAAAACACTGGTTGTTATTTGTAACTAGAGGCCCAGTGCATGAAATCCATGCACAGGTAGTGTCCCTAGGCCTGGCCTGCAATCAGGGTCAATTGGAGTCTTCTTCCTCCTGGCTGCCTCTGTTCCATGCTGCTCCCTGGTGGTCAGCACATGTCATAGCGAGCAGTAGAATGAACTCCCACGGGGATAATTTGCATATTAGCCTTTTATTATATAGGATTCTTGAAGAATTGCCTTGTACTTTAAAACCATCCTGAGGCCCCTTTGAGTCCTTTTTTTCTTTTCATTTTTTAAATTGTCAAAGCTGCCTATATAGAAGCAAAAATGAACCTCTCTCTTGATAATCACAGAATCGATGAAATGTATCAGAAAGCCAAGGTCCTCCTTTTCCTCCAAAATATTCTTTGAAAAATGAGTTTGCTCTTCTAAACCACAATTTTATTTCACATACCGGGGCTGGTTTCCTGTAGTCACCGAGTAGCGGGTGAAGACAGCGTGAGAGGGAGAGAGGAAGTGAAGCGTGGCCGACAGAAGCCATCTTTTATCCAAAATCGTCTCGGCTGGAGCTTCCTGGGTGGAGGTGCACTTTCAGTTTCTCCTGCTCTTCTAACCTTTCTACCTGTTTTATTTTCCTTATCAAACATGCACATAGCACTCACTCTGTATCAGGCACTGTGTAACTGGTCTACAAATCTTCATTTAATCCTCATCACCACCCTATGAAAACTATCCCCTTTGCACAGACGAAGAGACAAAGGGTCACAGAGGTTAAATGATGTGCACAAGATCACACAGACATTAAGTGGGGGGGCCGGGACACCAACCCCAGCCGTCTGGCGCCAGAGGCCATTACCATCCTTGATATTGATTGGACCATGTAGGTAGCGCTCTCTGGTTTTCAAAGCTGGGGTTGCGGAGCCTCGGAGCGGTGACCTGACTTGTCTGCAAATGACCCACGTGTCCTTCCTGCAGGGCTGTGCACTCTTTACCTGCATCGCTGCCTCCTGCTCTAGCAACACTGGGTGAATGGAAACCAGCAGGAAGTTATTCATAGAGACAAACAACTTCAATTATGGATTATCGCCCCTGAATTAATTAAAACTTGCTGCATCCAGTCTAATGCAATTTGAATTCAATAAGCAATAACCATTTTATAACACGGAGATGATATTAAGTTATCTCAAAGGGTTGTGACGAGCATTAATTAGATTGCTTTTACTATCAATAACAAAATCAATTACCTATGTCTAGCTGATCCATATTTTAGAGATAAAATGTATGCCCTGGAGACATTCTATTCTACCAGAAGCATACACACTCTTCTCTAAAGCTTACTCAACTCCTTTCTCCATGAATTTGCCTCTAAGGGCCAGACTAGATTCCTGGGAGTTAAGGAAATGGGTGCAGGGGAGTCTGTGTGTGACAACATAGGGCATGGAGAATGGGGCTTGGGTTGTCATTTCCTACGCCGTTCCTGTCTATTTAGGGCACCTGAGCACAAGTGGGCTGCTGTCTACCATCACCCTTTCCACTTCAAAGGGTGTCAGACTAGTGTCTGATGTCATGTGGGTTGGGTGGATTGGCGTGGGGAACACCCACGCACGAATACATCCAACCCCATCCTCCTCTCTCTCCCTGTTCTGTACGGCACTGTCATTATTCTGACTGCCATTGGAACTTTTATAGGTATCAGGACAAATGTTCCACGTGGTCTGAATTTAAGTTATATTAGATAGAATCATGTGCATGTTTTTAAAAAAAAAAAAAACACTTTTTTTTTTTTGAGAGGGAGAGGGATAGAGACATAGAAACACTGATGAAAGAGAAACATCATTAGTTGGCTGCCTCCTGCACACCTTTTGCTGGGGATCAAGCCCACAACCCGGGCATGTGCCCTGACTGGGAATTGAGCCAGTGACCTCTTGGTTCATGGGTCATTGTTCAACCACTGAGCCACACTGGCCAGACTCTCATCTTTT